CAACTACAAAACCAAAATTAAAGAGAGTAGAGAAGAAGAGTTTACTCAATAATTTTATAAAGGTTCAATCCAACCACTTGGAGTCTAATCCTTTACCTTAACTTCACCCACCAAGGATTTCCTCCACATTCTCCACTAAGAAAACAAGGGTGGCTTAAAGGAGCTACTCAATCATTTTACAGAAAAATGAGTATTTCTCTCAAACCTCACCCTTTTACAATATCAACCCCAAGAATCTTCTCTACAGATCACTCTTGAATGATTAATCACACCCCCAAGATCACTCACAAATAGAACAAGAGGAGGATTACAAGTAAAGATCTCTCAAAGATCAAAAACTCAAGTTAAAGCACAAGTAGGTAGGTAAACATATTCAATGTAATGCTCTAAAACTTGTTCCAAATCTGTTATCAACCATATTTATAGCCCCTTGCTCGAAAATAGTCATTTCTAGCCATTGGGGGTCATTAAATGCTCTACAGGTTGCATAGTTCGAGTTGCAGAATTGTCATCACAACTGGCTTACACTTCTAGAGTCAGCTCTAAAGTTGGCTTAAGGAAATCTGCAGCCGACTTTGCGAGTTTCCTACACATTTTGTTTTCTCTGTAAAGCCAACTGCAAAACGTAAAGCTGGCTTTGGGATTACGACTTTAAAAACATTAATTAATCTTCAAATAACTCGACCGTTGTGCATTAAATGTGCCCTTACAGTCGGCTGCAAAGTTAAAGCCAGCTTAGCATCCGTTTTCCGCATGTGCCAAACAACGCAACTTCTAGAGCCAACTCTTTGCAATTTTACCTCTCTAAAGCCGGCTACAAATTCTCTTAAGTTGGCTCTCTGCACATTTCCAGCCTTTTTGTCCATTTTTAATGCAGCCCAAGTTTACTCACTTTGCAATTTTTTGACAATTTAACTACACACTTAAATAAACCAGTTAGTCACTCAAATGTGTTTTGTAATCATCAAAATCATAGGTACAACAATTTAAGATTAAGATCTCAATTATTTTTTAGAGTCAGCATTGATACACATTTTTCCCTTATAAGATTATGCGATATTGTAATTTAGTGCATCATTATTTAATTTCTTTTTATTAAAAATTTATTTATAATGCTATATATATTGATTTGATATTTATTATATAAGATTAGTGCGCATTAGTTTTGATTTTTTTTAAAAATTTAGAATCTCAACTTATATTTAGAAACTAAAATTTCAATGTAAAATTTAAAAATTTACCCTATTAAATGTTGGTACATAAATTTAAAAATCAATTATATATTATAACAAAATCACTTTTAAAGTTAAATATTAATATTTAATAATATAAACTTTTAAATTTTAAATTGAGTTTTAATTAGATAAAATGAGGTATTTGCATTAAATTTGAAACTTTAATTTATTTTAAAATTTTAAACTGATATACATTTTTTGCTTATTATATTTATTTAATGTTATATATCATATTATTATAAATTTATCATTTTAAGTGATACTAATTTTTTATTAAATTTTCAAAATTTAAAAGTTATTAGTCTTAACTAATTTAAAATCAAATCACAATAAATCACATAATTTTTCTAATGTATATTACTTTAATTATTAAATTTAAATTTAAGATTTTATTCAAATAATATTTTCACCTAAATGTATGACTTTATTTTATTTAGACTTTATTTAAATCAAAAAATTAAATGATCAAATAAGTCAAAAATCCAACTCCAATGTCAAATCTCTTGGCATATAAGCATGACATGGTAATATTTTGTCATTCAAGCAGCCAAACGAGTGTCCTAAACGGCAGTTAAGCCAGGCGAGCAAGTCCCAAACAACAGTTAAGTTGGCGTAAGAGGAAGGGCTTAATTGCTTTGATAGTAGAGTTCAAGGGCTTATATGCATCAATTAAAGTCTGGGAGCTTAATAGCAATTCTGGGATTAGTTCAGGGGCTTAACTTATGGTTTTGCCAAGGAAGAAACCTATAAGTTTTAAGTGCAATTCACATAGAAATTAATAAAAAGTCTTTAATGTCATAAACTATTTAACAGAGTCATCTCAAAAAGCTACTTTCAAGTGTTCATACCCATTTTTAGATGGGGTTAGAGGGCTACTATTATACTTCTTTTTATTGGTACGTATTATTATTTTCTTTAGTTTGGAAATATTGGAGACAAGTGACATGATCATATTAACTGGGATTAACTGGGAATAAGCAGGAAAAGAGAGAGACAGAGAGAGAGAGAGCATGGTACGTTCTCAAATGTCACAAACATAATATAAAGTATCACGTTACCCTAGTTATGGATTCCATTTGAAAGCATCATCTTTTTTCCTAGGCACCTTACTCATCATAACAATTGCCAATTGTGAATTTCAATTTGCAAGCTACTCACACATGATTGGAGGCAAAGAGAGAAAGTAAATGGGTAAGATAATAGTTAAAGAAAGAATCAAAACCTTGTCCAAGTAAAGTTCAGTAGCCCATGTGGAAATCATAGTTATTTGGCATTTATCATCCTTCACAAGATTATCAAGCTTCCTCAATAAGAAGGTTCTTAAAGCATCCTGTAGGTAACCAGAGCACATGAGAGCTTTTCAAATCCAAATGCTTGCAATGAGCAATGACTTTAGACTAGACCCAACATATTGAACCCATTGTAGTAAATTCAACGAAGCACCACAAACGATTGATTTTTAAGGCAATATTCTAATTGAACTCCAGTAATTCAGCACATTATAAACTTCAGCTAAGGCGCAAGAGAGGGAGAAATTTCACTAAAGTTGTCAAATTGAAAACCTTGGTTGAATGGATACCTCTGTCTCAACAAGTTTTAGGTAATGCCGGTAGAGATTAAAATATTCGTAAAACTGGCATTCAAATTCCATCAAATCAAACAAATAATGAAACCTATCTTTGGATTTATTTCTTATTTCCCCCTAAAAGGAAATTTGAAGGCACTTTGTTTGCTTGCAGCAACAATAATAAAACATACTCAAGCAAAAATGAAAATCAACATGATAATTTTATAATACATATTTACAAATATGAAAAACATGAAAAATACCAGAATTACCTGTTCGTTTACACTAATAAATTTCAGAGTGATCTCCTCAAATGATAATATGTAGTTAATCTGAAAAAAAATAGATATTTTATCAGTCACAAAATTTCCATTCAACTAGGAATCAATGGAAAAAAAAAAAAGTTTCCCATGAATCTGTGTGTAAATGAAGCATTTAAACTTTAGCTTCTAAGCTAAATTAAGAGACCTTAATACGCCTATGCAATCAATTGCTAATATGGTTACTAATATGGTGCTTTGTTATGAAGTCACACATTGACTAGAAAGTGGAAAAGAGCAATAAATTGTTAAAAAGTTGTTAGATTTTACTAGAGAAACTAAAAGCAACATTATTGAAAAAAAAGATAGATAGATAGATAGATAGATAGATAGATAGACTATTTTAATGTTTCAAATCCAACTTTTTAATTAATAATAATTTACACAGGTTTGCAGCGTCCATAAAACTCCTAAATCCAGTTTATGAAATATTCCCTTCAGGATATGTAGCTACAGTTAAAAGTCTTAAAAACTTATCAATTGAGACATATATGACTTCTAGATAGCTTTTCAGATGAAAGCTTCAATATTACCATGACTTTAAAATAAACAATCAGAATGCATGCTTTTTGATGATTAATTGAATACACAAATACAATAAAATTAGGAAAGAGATGCACTTTTGCGTAAAAAGATGCAGCTCTCAGGAAATCTTTGGCGTTGAATGCAGCTTCTGCCTGCATAAAACATGTAATATCCCAAAATTTTGTGATATTTTAGCATTTAAGTAAGGGTTTTTGTGAGAGAAAATATTGTTTTGGGGCTTAATAGAAAATTTTCAAAGTTCAGGGACTTAAAAGAGAAAAGAATTGGATAAGGACTGGGTGATTTTTTTTCTCCTTTTCCTCTTTCTTCTTCAGCCCGATTCTGCTCTTCTTCTTCTCCCCTGCAGCCGGCAAAGCCCCAAGCCCGACAACACCTCTCTTGGGAAAAACCGGTAGAAAGCTTAGATATTTCTCCTTCTTTTCTTGTTCTAGGACTGAAATTGAACCCAGAAATCTCCCCCTGCAGAGAAAATTTCGGATCTGCTCTGCTCTGCTACTTCCGGCTGCTGCTCTGCTGTGTGGGGGTGCGAATTGCTCGGGTTTTTTGGTAAGAAGCAGCCCGAAATTCCCCTTTTCTCACTTGATTTGGCTTGGGTTTACTCTAATTCCTCTTGGTTTCTCCCAATTTTTGATAGATTTCCTGAATTCTCCCCAAATTGCCGCCGGCTTCCCCTAAATTGCAGCTCCGGTTTTTGCTGCTAAATTCTGGTATTTGACAGCCCTTTAAGCTTAAAATTATCCATTTAATTTGCTGCCCCTGTGATGTCTGAAATTCTATAGAAAAGAGATGAATTCCGGTACCTTTAAAACAAAATTTAAACATTAATTCAAGTGGGATTTATGTGATTGAGTGTTAATTGACTGCTGTGAGATTTTGGAGAAAAATCCCGTGAGATTAGCTATGGTTTTGCCAATTTTTGGAAGTTGCCATCACTGTTCACAGGTACTGTTCACGCACTAATGGCCAACAATTAACGGGGATTAAATGTTTAGTTTGTAATATAAGAATAAATTTAGAGATGTCCGTCATATGGAGACTAATAGAAATAGCATCGTGATTAAGGATGATGCTAATGAAGTTTTCGCTTTGAATTTCTGATAATACAATATTAATTCTGGGGTATTTTGATTAGGTTCTTAAGTGTTCTATCACCCGAGTACTTGGCTTGAGTTCCGGATTTGAGGTAAGTAAATTTATGATAAGTAAATTTATGGTAATACTCGTACAGTTTTTAAAAAGCATGTTTGACTTGTTTTTGAAGTGGTGGTGGGACTAAACCCGTTTTATACAAAAATGAACATGATTGATTTGAAATAAGATTATTATTCTTTTTATTGATTTAAGCATGCCTGCTTGGAATTTATTTAACTGCCCTGATGATCTGGAAATTATCTATAAAGTATGATTTTCTGTTAACTTCTGCCTATTTTGTCTTCGATATGGTCATGTTATTCGTGTGCCCGCTAGTGGAAGGTTTATAAACGCTAGCACATGTCGACATGTTACTAATAGAACCGGTTCGTTTCTATTATCCTGCTAGTGGGATTATACACTAGTAAATTGTGTGCCTGCCAGTGGGAGGTTTATAACACTAACCATGACCTATAGAGGAGATGTCTATTTCGTTTTCGTACTCGTACCTGTTTTCGTGATTATACTTGTTGGCATGCTATAAGTTTAATTAAAGGCTATCCATATTTACTTACTGAATTATCTCATAGTTTTTCATTGTCCACCATTTCAAGAAACGAAGTCAAGGACGGGAAAAAACGAGGGGAGTAACGAATTAGAAGGCTAGCCATCTTGTAAATTTGATATAGATTTTAGATATAGATCATGATCTTGTAAGCTAGATTTTAATTGGAGATTTTATAAATTCATTGAATGGATTGTTAGTTTACAAGAGATTTGACCTTGAGATTTTGAGCTTAAGTCATGTTGGACATAGAATTATTTTGAAATATCTGATTTAAGTTATTGGATTATCAGATGTGAATTGGATAAGTTCCAAGCCTTGTGCATTTGTGGGACCCTCTCACAAGTGTACGCATCTGCCACGTCCTTGGATTTGGGTTTTGGGGCGTGACAAAACATTATCTCAGTAACAATCCAAATGGTAGCAAGAGACTCTAAACAAAAATATTAACTTTGGCAGTAATCTAATTCCATCTTTAAAAAAAAAAAAACTTTTAAAATAAAATAAAATATGAAAATTTGCTATAACCTGAACTAGATAAACTCGATCTCTCTGAAGTGGATCACAGTACTGTGCTAAAGCAGCAGCGTACTCTTTCATGTCCAGATACACCTTCCACATATTACATCCTTCATCATTCACAGAGACCTAAATGCATTCTCAAGTCAAAAGGGACAAAGAAAATTAGTCTCGTGCACCATAGACCAAAGCAACAGTCATTGTAACTCATAAGTGGACCTAAAAGATGGAATTCTGGTCATACGCATAGAACAACTGTTGACGACCAACCTAAGATTTCAAAATTAAAAAAAATAATGAAAAATTAAGTATGAAAAATAGAAAAGGAGTCGTCACTCGTCCAAATTATAAGGTGGGACAAATCACTTAAAAATGGATTTGCACAGAAATCAAGGTTAAGGGGTTCGGTTAGAAGTGAGGAAGGTATACACGTACCTCACAATCCTCCATTTAAATATTGTTGCATACTTTAACATTGGGATTTTTATTCAACTTATTCATTATATTTATATTTGAGTCTTAATAAGCAAGTTTGAAAAATAGATGAATCACATTGCAACACTTTTAAACTTTTGGACTAAAATGGACAAAATCAAGAACATGCATGCATGATGGGCACAAATAAAAAGTTAAATGGACTGACCTGATTAAATTCGAAAACACAAAGGATTGATTTGATTAAATTCTAAGTATAGAGGACTAATTTGAAAATATTTAAAACTTTTGGATTAAAGCATTTAATCATGAAAGTTTTGGGTGAAATTGAAATAAAGAGAAATAATTTTGACTTTCGATTAAAATTAAGAAAAATAGAGGATTAAAATTAATTAACTATGATAATTAATTTAGTTAAATAATTAATTCAACATTAATTAAAATTAATTAATCACATCTATTAACTTTTAATCAAGATAATTAAATAAATCTAATTATCTTAAATTAAGATCAATAAACCATTGTTTTAAAACCCGGCCTGGCCCGGCCGGTTGAACCGGTTCAACCGGACCCGGGCTTAAAAACGGGCCGAGTGCATGCTTCGGCCCGTTTTGAGAGTTGGCCCGTCCAAACCCGTTCGACTCGTTCGACCCGCGCCAACCGCCCAACCCGTTCCACCCGCCGGGCACCACCTCATCTCCTTCGTGAGCAGCCGCAGCAAACGCAGCCTGGTCTCCCTGCTTCACCTCCATCGAAACCAAGAGTCCATGGTAACAGACCTGACGAAAGAAACATAGACGCCGAGACCACAGTGCTTGCCGGAGCACTCCAAACACATGAAGATGCCATAGGAGACCAAAGCCCATTGCAAATTCTTTTGGGCATAGTCGACGCAGATCTTGTTCCCTGGTTAAGATGAGAGGTCATGCAACCATCTTGACGCCGCCATCTGAATCCGATCTCAACCGATTCTTGGAGATTGAAAATGAAGAGGATAGATCAAGCTCCAGAAAAAAAAGATCAAAAGAAGGATATAAAACAAGATTCAAGAAGATTTTATTCAATTTTTTTTTTAAAAAAAAAGGGGTTAAATTGGGGGGAGGAGGAAGATCACTGATATTGTTAAAATGGTTGAGGAGTGTGGGGATGATTGGTGGTGGTGATAGATGCACGTGTTAGAAATAGGTAATTTTGGGTTGTTGTGCAAAGTGAAATGGCCTAAATTTAACATTTAGTCTATTAGTTATAGGTTTATTATCATTTTGGTTTAGAAATTTTATTTTCTCTCAAATTGGTCTATGAACTTCAAAAAAAAAAAAGCATATCAAAAGTCAAAATAATTAAGTTGTATGTATTTAATTAAATTTATTATTTTAAATTGCTTAAATGATAATTTTTAAGTTGATTTTATGATAATTATTTCTTAAAAATAGAGTGAAAATAATATATAA